TGGAATGTTTTATTTTTGGACATAAATGATAGTACCATCTGAAAACGGACCCTCTTATGACGTAGAAACCTCATCTCGCCATAGTTAAAAGAAAATACCAAACGCCGGACGGAGACTGAGTCAACTGATATATTGATTCTTTCAACTGTGATCTCGCGCTAATTCACTCTGCCAGAAACAATGAACTCATGCATATGCATATGGTTCGCTTTAGGGTATACACGTTATTGTGAGTGCTCCTGTGATATTAACTTGAAATCTCTTGGATATATATGGGTATGAATTTCGGAAAAGTGCACAATACGTAAGTTGTCAACAACTTTGATCATACAGCTAGTTAGTTAATCGTTTTCGATGACCACAAGTTGAATATCGATATAACCTAACCATATCAAATACAGTAGAAACATCAGCGCCGAAAGAAAACAAACATTTTTTACTTACTCTGAAAAAAAAGACGGTGAGAGATAAGCCCAATCTCTAGGCATAATTGAACTGAAGGAGACCATATACTAAAAATTTAATATGTCACTGAATGAGCCGTCTGTGAGTAAAATTATTGCAGAATTGAATAAAAACAAGGAGGAACTGAAGAACGCAATAAAAGCCAGTGAAGATAGAGTGAGGCTTTCTATTGCAGACTTGAAACTCAAAATAAAGGACCTAGAAGAAGAAAACCTAACCCTGAAAAACAAACTAGAAGTGGTGGAAAGAAAAAATAAATCGAATAATCTAGTTGTTTTTGGTTTTGAAAAGGATCCAGCTGAAATTTCCCCTCAAACAGTAATTAACGAACTGAATAAATCACTAGAAGTTAACATTGACATCCGAGATATCAACAATATTTACTGCATGGGAAAGAATAAAAACTGTCCAGTAAAAGTGGAATTTGTCACACAATTGAAAAAAAAAAGAGATTCTGCACAACACTAGAAAACTAAAAAATACTGGTATATCCATTGTACACGATTTAACAGCTATCCAACAAGAAGAACTGAAAGTATTGAAACGTCATCTAGAAAAGGAGAGGAAAATAAATAGAAACAAAAAATCTTTTATAAAAGGGAATAAACTGGTTACTGAAGCAGCAACGTTTACAGTACAGGACCTTCTTAATAGGGAAGAAACAGAAGATTCACCGGACTACTCCAAAACTAATATTGCCTCTAATAACAAAAATTACTTACCACCAATAGTTAACGTAAATAGGGTTATCAGAACCAGATCCGGATCATCATCCCTGGATAATAATAAAAATTAAATTGTTTCTTTTTTTGTAAGTGAAATTTTCTATTGGTTATTGTCTTAGCTTAGCTTCATACAAGTCTTACAGTACAACATAATGGACCAGCTTATTAGGGATTTTAATTATGATCCCATTAACACAAAAGAGTGCACTGATATATCTGAGGTAATTAACTGTTTAGGCCAATATACCCCAAAAAATTGTTTCAGAATATTACATCAGAATATCCAGAGCATAAATAAAAATTTTGATGAATACAAAGTGTATTTAAAAACAATCAAGTACAATATTGAGATGATAGTACTGACAGAAACTTTCAAAATACATGATTTAGATTGTCACAAGCTGGAAAATTATAACGTACTATACAATGAGGGAAACTTCAATAAAAATGATGGAGTTGTTGTATTTATCAAAAAGGAACTGGAATGTACATCAAGAATCGTGAATATAGGGCCATGCAAAGTTATAGAGATTAATGCAAAAATATCCAAAAACAAACATGTGCTAGTCACTGCCATCTATAGATCTCCGGCTGGAGACAAAACAGAATTTTTGACTGCTTTACGGTCATATCTGGAACAAACAAAAACTGTATCAGTTGACTATCACTACCTAGTTGGGGATGTGAATTTGAACATTTTAAAGGAAGAAAATAATGAGGATGTCAGTAACTATTTAGATATAATGAGTGAGTATAATTTTGTGTCTATCATAAATGCAGTAACAAATTTCCAGGGTGAATCGACTAGCTGCATTGATCACATATTTTTGAAGTCAAAGCACGATATAAAAAATAACTGCATATCTTTAACCTATAGCACCGGTATCAATAACCACAAAACCATACTTGGGGGTACCAAAATAGAAAACGAAAAAAATCCTACGTTAAACAAAAAATACAAATATTTCATTAATTATAATAACCTAAAAAAGGACATGAAATCCAACAACTGGCACCCTTTCTACTCTTCGACAGACTCTGAATTCCTATTTAATCATCTAACCAGCAATATACAGCGTCTTATTCGACAAAATACAAGTAAAGTAAAAATAAAAAAACATCAACCCACGCAATGACTGGATCACAGAAGCTGTTATGAACTCAACAAAAACAAAACAAGAATTACACACACAGTATAAATTAGACCCAAACAACCCCATAAAAAAACAAGAATATACCAAATACAGAAATAAGTTAAATAGAATAATACAAGAAGAAAAATCTAAATACTTCCAAAATGAAATAGAAAAAAATTCGAAAAATACAAAAAGTCTCTGGAGCATAGTTAGACAAGTAAGCGGACAAAACAATGAATACACAATCAAAGAAATAAAAACTAAAACTGGTGAAATCATAAGTGAACCATTAACGACAGCCAACTACTTCAATGAGCACTATTCGTCTGTGGGTGAAAATCATGCAAAGAAGATAAAAAAACCCTCATCACCTAAACCCACACTTCAGTCGATTCAGAAATCATTTTACTTGTTTCCTGTTAAAAGTAAAGGAATTGAATCAATTATTAAGGATTTGAAAACGGGTAAGTCTCCTGGAGAAGACACAATTAAAACGGAGACGATAAAAATGATTGCAAACGAAATAGCACCCCTACTCGAACATTTAATCAACGTTATATTTGAAACAGGAATTTGTCCTTCTAAATTCAAAAAAGCAATAGTGATTGATAGTGACAGGAAAGATGTGGTCAACTATAGACCCATTTCTCTTATCAACATACTTGCAAAAATATTCGAAAAATCACTGAAAAGCAGAATCAATGATTTCTTCGAAAAAAACCACATTATATCGAACCAACAATTTGGTTTTCGAACAGGAATGTCAACGAACGATATCACATCTAAGTTAAGTGGAGAAATAAATCACTGCATTGATTCTAGAAAGCCAACAATTTGTGTCTTTCTAGATCTCGCCAAGGCCTTCGATACAGTGGATCACTCTCAGTTATTCGAGGCTCTGGAGGGATCCGGTATAAGAGGAGTAGCACTTGAACTCTTCAAAAGTTACCTCAAAGATCGTAAACAATCGGTAAAAATAGGAGAAACTATAAGCCATGAAATAAAGTATCATATGGAGTGCCACAAGGAACTGTCCTTGGGCCAATACTGTTTTCAATTTATATCAATAACTTACTCACCCAGAAATCGTCTAGAAAAATTTACAGCTTCGCCGACGATACAGCCATTCTGTACTCATCTGATTCATGGGAGAACCTGAAAAGAGAAATTGAAAATGATTTGGAAAACATATTCAACTGGTTTAGCCACAAACTATTAACAGTCAATTTCGAGAAAACTTACTTCGTCCCTTTTGCTAGCTATGAAAATCACTTGCCAGATTTTAAAACTCTTGAGCTGAAAGTAAATCAAATTAATGTCAAAATAAATACAACTAATAAAATAAAATACCTTGGAATAACTATTGACTCCCATCTGAGGTGGAATGATCACACTGAGCAGGTGAGCAAAACACTCAGAATTCTTTTGTATAAATTCAAGTGTTTAGTCAAGATACTAACTCTCAAGCAATTGAAAATTTTATATCATGCTCTGGTCGAATCACGCCTGCAATATTGTATACTTAGCTGGGGTGCATGTTCATACACGTACTTGCGGAAGCTAGATGTCCTTCAGAAGCGAATCCTGAAAATAATTTATAAAAAGCCTCTATTATATCCATCTGATACAGTTTTTCTTGAGAGTCACGTACTAGATCTTAGACAACTATATTAAAAATTATCTTCTGAGAATGAATAGCCTGGATATGTTTAAAAAATATTTCAAATCGTTCATACTGCAATCTGACCGTAAAGAAATACACAAAATAATTGAACATGTTCCCCTCGGCTGAAGTTTCCCTCAGTCATACCTTTTTATAAATTTTTGCTTTCCTACATATTGACATTTCACATGTATACATACTATATTCTCACATTCTTTTACTTATACATTTGATACTTTTATATTCACCGCAATTTTTAAACTATTTTGCTATATTATGCTTTTGTGATTCTCTATTTTTGCAGAAATTACTGATGTATATGTTTACAATAATTATATGCCACTGGTACTGTTTCATCAAACACCAATAATTTATTATATTGAAGTATTTGTATACCCATATACAACCGTTCATGGTTTCTTTGGGTTATCGCTTATTGCAATGAAATATTCACTAAATGTAACTCATTATTTATATGTATTCTTATGCAATAAATTATTATATTATATTATATTATAATACAACTGGAAGGGATACGATCGTTCTCTCGAATAGCACAAAGTGTGTCAGGGGCAGCTGCAACAAAGGTAGCATGATTTACGGATACCTGTCCTCTTCCAACTCGTGTTGTTTAATGGTGGATTGGTGTATAAATTTTCTTTTATCTAATAATTAAAGTAGTAAAGAATTTTTTCTGTCATCTAAACAGGCAAGAAAGTGAAGACATAAGTTCATTGGCTTAGTTCATGTGAAATACGAGGTGAAATATATCTATTCATTTGGCGTGTTTTGTTGTAACAAAAGGACTGAATTTGTTGTTGTGAACACTGAACTGATTGTTGAGAAGGTTTGTGATTGGTATTGATAAACAATGGTGATTTATTGTGTCGCCTTTGGATGCAAGAAGAATGAACAAAACAAAAGGAAATTAGCATTCCATGGGTAAGTTGAATATTGTTCTCAGATTTGTGAAAAATATAGTTCATGAAATGATCATCAGTTAGGTTTACAATGTCCAGTCTCAGAATATGTTCAAAAACGATACCTATATTATTTGTCAAAGTTAAATATTGTAAATTGATATTGAGTAATATTATTTATTGCAGTTTTCCATTCAAAAGACCAGACATTCTCGAATTATGGATAAAGGCAGTTTCTAGTGAGAATTGGACTCCAACTAAAAGCAGCAAGCTTTGTGGGGAGCATTTCCTGCCAACAGATGATTCAGGCATACCAGGTACTGCTAGGTTTTTGAAAGCAGATGCTGTACCCAGTATATTTTCATTTCCTCAGCATTTGTTACCAAAAAATGCTGATTCCCCCAGGAAAATAAAAAAACTCATAGGTACCTAGTTGATTAATAATGAAAAAAAAGTATGTTTGCACCTATTTAAAATAAAAAAAAAACTAGCTAGTAATTTGTTTTCAGGATGCATCTGTGGACGTTCATAACTTGGGTCCAAAGGAAGAAGTTTCCCATGTTATTGACTTTGACTTGCCTATCACTTCCAGCTCCCAAAGTTTCGAAGTTGATCAATAAAGAAACTCAAACTGTTTCATTAGAGAAGGATATTGTATTGAGGAGAAAAGTGAACACACCTTCAAACATGAAAGAATAAGTAGTTCAATCAATTTCCAACAGTGGGTATAGTAATGACAATTATTAATGAGTGACCTAATGGAGGAATGGGAACCTATGGAAATTATGCTCAAAATGCACTCATCAATACCATTCAAGAACCTCTTTTCAAATTTTTTCTATCGTTTTTCTTTTCCTTTTGATAGTTCTGAGACATTGTGCTTCGCTCACCCTGTACAATATATTGTGAAATTTGAATAAAAATATATAATTTCAATTTTGTATTCATTTGACTTCCTGATCCAGTAAGAGTAATATTGAAATTTCATTTCAAAGTCAATAAAAAAATCAGTAATAATTCTTTAATGATAATTGATTACAACATTATCCTTTTTCCTGAATGAATATTTTTATTTAATCACGTTTACTCTTAAATAGAAGCAAAAAACAAGAGAATATTTCAAATTATGCGAGCGCTTCCCATTAGCCAACACAAGATAGAGAGAGATAGGTATCCGTAAACACTGCGGGTTGCCTGAAAAATATTTTTGCCTCACTCGTCGTTCACAGTGGGTCCCTTCCAGTTGTTTACATACAGTTCATTGGCCAGAAATCATGTATCATTCATCTCTGTCTGGAATAGTCCTGTTTCAGTATTAGGGTTTTGACGTCACATCATCGCCTCGTTTTCAGAGGTCCGAAAAATCGGGGATTTCAATAATTTTTTATAAAACGTAGGGAGCTCACAGCGATAAACGGTTTGCGGTGGTGAGCTAGTTTGGGTGAGTTCTATCAAATTATGGAATAAAATTTTTTTGTGATATAAGCCCATTAGATGGGTGACGATAGGTATACAGCCTATACAGGTTGTTCCAACGAAAGCTTAATACCACGATTTGAGTGGTTCAAAATAATCAACCCCTGTCAGGGGGAATAACAACCCCCTAATATTGAAAATGGATGAGGGGTGTTGCGATACCTCATTTTGAACATTTCATCGAGTACTACTCGACCCTCTTATTTCGCGTCAAAATTTTTATCGATAACGAAATGAGAGATAGAATAGTAGAAGAGGCAATGTCGAATATAACTTGAAACCATTATTCTCATTAGAGTAGGATTTGAAATAGTTATTTTAGTATGTAGTGCGCGAAATGCTACTTTGGTGATCGAGAACTGATTTTTTCAACGAGGCGCAGCCAAGTTGAAAAAATAGTCGACCAAAGTAATTCGCGCTAGTGTTGCAAAAAAAAAACAGTGTTAAACTGGCTCGAGGAGTCTCTCCTTATCCTCCTTAGGTACGCAAGATGTTTCACGAACATTATAGGAATTTCCTTTCGTGCGCTCCAATAGATTATCATTATGAAATTATTATTGAACATTCAGGAATGAATGATTTCTCGGATGTTTGCTTAATTGAGGACCATGAAGTTCTTATACAAAAGTCTCATATAGATTTCATACAATGCGAGAAGTATGTACTTAGCGCATTATTTTTTTTCGCGCACTGTTTCGCACATGATATCGTAGGAAACTGAAAAAAAAGTCTCACTTCGCAATTTTATATCAATGCGCGATCCTTGTCATTTTTTGACGTTTTTAGAAAAAGTATTCATTTATTCGTTATTCTTTTTCACAAAAATTATTTTGAATGCCCTATCGATTAACCTCCGTTCATCATCAATATTCAACAATCGATTTGACCGTCGGTTGAAACTGTTGCATATTCACGATATACCGCGGTAAATCGAACAGATAGTACAAAGTACCTCCACAAACTCTTTTGTGACAAAGGATAACAAATATAAATAAAAACTACTCGAATAAGAATTATATTTTAGAGGTAAATTCGACATTGCCTCTTCCACTGATATTGAGGTGCCGTGACATTCCTCATCCCTATCCAAAATTCGGAGGTTTTGCTTCCCCCCGGTAGAAGGTTGAAGTTACGGGGCTGAAGAAAGCAGACAAGGCATTATTGGGGTGTGAAGTTTTCGTTGGACCACATTGTATATGTATATGTCGTGGTTTTTGATAAATATTAAAAACTGTGCGGAGCTCTGGCACAAAGTTTTTGACAGTATATATTGGTATTGATTTTTTCTCCAAAATGATGATAGATAATGTTTTTCTGGAACAGTTGTCTAGTTTTTGAATTCGGACTAGCCGGCTGCAGCATTCTGATATTTGTCATATGATTAATCCACTCTCCCACTATTCCAGAAAGTGAATATACCGAATATTATTCATACAATACTGTATATACAAATAATATCGATGAATACCTGTGAACTGTTATGTATAATGATAAATATAGCGAAACCAAAATCAAACATAAAAGTGGGTACCCTATGAGAGTATATGGATATGTTATTGGATGAATGGAGTTGAAAAAATTGTGGGTCAGAAATGCTCTACCAATTTTGCTGGAAGAGTATAGTCAGTTGATTATCAATCCTATAATGTATAATAGAAATAACATTTTCACTTATTCACAGCTTCGAACATTTTACATTTTTGATTTCAGTAGTACTTTTCGATTAATGAAATTTACAGTCCCTAAACAACTTTTTGGTGATATGAGGGAAACCCTAGTTATACCTACATATTACTTTTTCGTTTTTTCTATCTCTTGGAGAGCACGAAAAGGAATTTCTATAATTTTCGTGAAACATCGTGTTCTTACACACAAAATTCCAAAGCTTTGCTGTTTTATAGACGAACGAGTTTTGGTAGAGTATTGTTCGACATTTTTCATGGTTGATGTCGAAGGGATGTGCTGACTGGGCCTGTCGAGATCTTCTGACTAGTTTCACTAGTGGTGGAATTATAGCAGAGAGATCTGAGGAACATTCCCCGTGAGAGTATTTTCAGAGAAGTGGAAGGTCAACGACTTTTCTGCGGTGTTCTAATGGGGTCAAAGGGTTAGTGAGTGTGGCATGACATACCAGGCGAATGGCTCTTTTCTGGATGGAATCTAAGAGCATCAGCTTATATGCCCATATGTTTGGGCGCTGAACTCAATGCACGAGAACAGTATTCTGGAACTGGTCGTATCTGTGCTTTGTATATATCATGAGGAGCTGTTGGGGTGTAAAGTAGATTTTCGAACGGAAGAAGAATCCGATTTTTCATAAAGCAGCTTTTTTGATGGATCGGACATGATTTTTCCATGAGAGAGTATAGATACCAGTAGGTTTAACTTATCATTGTTGTGAAGAAGTGAGTATTCTTCATTCATTTATTTCATTCTCATGAATAAACATACTATTTTTATTTGTATGTCTGGAATCTCTTGGGATTTTTCGGGGAATAAAAACATTTCCACTCTGATGCCTTCCAAACCAATCCGCCTTTATCTTCAATTAATGGAAAAATTGCTTGCGGGGCCCAATACATCGAATGAACTGATCAAAGAATTGACGAGGAATAAAAGAATAAGCAGTGGAGTAGTACGCCGTATATAAATGGCATATATCAATAAAATGAAACGAAATTCAACGAACGATTATTGAGAATCGTTTCCCAATTTCTGATTTCAGACAATATCAATATCATCTTGAAGTTCAAACAGCTGCAAAAATTTTAACTCTATCACAAATGTGATGAATGTTCTGAAGTTTCTCTGTAACGGATTGTTTATTGAATATACTATAATCACTTGACCCTAATATACTACGAGTTCTGATAAAGGGTTGTTTGACATATTTCGCGATTGACTACGAATCGATGTGCTGATTGAGCTTGTCGCGTTTGTCGGACTGGTATTGCTTTTGATCGAACGATAGATATCCCTTTCTGAGGAATGATCAATCGAAATGTGGAATGTACCCAACTTGCCTACGGTATTTTGATGATGTCATGGTATCAGTGAGAGCTTGTCTCTAGATGGAATCTGAGAGCATCAGCGTATTTTTGGGTGCTGAACCCCATATATGTAGAAACAGTATTCTAGACTAAATAATTACATAACAAAGCTATATATTCATGATCATTATCGAAATTTGAAGTTGAAGTGTACCTAGTTACTATTTGTTCACCATGTCACATAATATATACGCCATCTCTATCTAAATAATTGTTAATAGATGATTATTTCAGAAACAACTGTCATATATTCATCATGTATTGAAGATGATCTGTTGGTTGAATTGTATTCCTTTGATTCATGGTATGAATATATATATAGGGCTATTGGCCTCGATGAAATGGGGCATAGATTTCTGAACAAAGTGAAATACCAATGAATTATAAATATGGCCGCTATCACATCGAGAAAGAAGAGTGATTTTCAAGGTAAGTGAATATTCTCAAAGTCACTCAAAAATATTGTAATGGTGTGATTTAATTATATATATAGGATGGCGTGGACCCACGAACTACTTTCATTTATGGCCTTCGATGATATGATATAGATAGATGAATTGATCTTTGATATATAAATTCTATCCTGAATCGGAAATATTTATAGTATTCAGCACTGCCAAGAGGGAAGTAAACTTAGAAAACTATGTACCTACCACTATTGATCCATTTTTGAATTCTTAACTCGTTTCCTAACAGCGGATGATGATTATTTCTGTGGTGCCTCTACCCAGTTAACACAGATTGAATCTAGAGATGTGAGAAGGCATCACATTCATGCCACACATCACATCCGTAACTCGAACTGAGAGTCCCACTGAAATCACAATGACTGCTATTCCAGACCCTTATGGTCATTTTATGATTCACATTATGATTCCAAATGAAACTCAAGGTACGTGTCAAAATGAGAATTGAGTTATTTCGTTTTTTTCATAAATAGACAGAGTATGAGGTTCCAGTGAGTCTCTTGGTTGTTAGAAAACCTCACAAATTCACCTACATTCTG